ACTGTGTTTTTTGGATATTGTGTTTTGTGTTTTTGCATCCTGTCCCATCTACAAAATTCCCATCTGTGTCTCCTGCATCTGGTGAGAAGAAGAGGAGGAAGACAATTACTGTTGAACAGAAACTCAGCATAATTGCCCAGTGTGAAGGCGGTAAGCCGTAATTACATAAATTACATGAGATATTCAATACTTTATTATAAAATAGCATTGTGTTAGATGATTTTGCCCAACTGTAGACTAATGTAAGTGTTCTGAGCACATTTAAGGTAGGCTAGGCCAAGCTATGATGTTTGGTAGGTTGGGTGTATAGAAAGCATTTTCGACTTAACAATATTTTCAAGTTACGATGGGTTTATTGGGACATAACCCCATCGTTAAATCGAGGAGCATCTGTACTTATTTTGGAGCCAAATGACTGTGCTTTTTTTCTCCCTAATGTCTACTAATTTGATTAGTTACTTTGATATATTTCATGTGTCTTATCTACCTTATGCTTTTCCTTAGAGACCTAACTCTGTGCACTCTTCAAGCTATATTTGTATTCCCATCTATGATGGTAATATCACTGAGGTGAAGCTAAAAATGTTGGACGTATGTCTACATTTTCTGCAACCTTCTGGTATACCTGTCTCAGTGCTGAAGAGGTGATTTCTCATTGTGTTCTCTGCAGGTTCAGGTAGGTACCTCTCAGTATTTCTGTGGAGGTGGGCATTTCTGTTTTCTCTCAGAGAGCTTGCGTCCATTCTTTTGTCATATCTTTTTGAGTTTCAATCACTTCCTCTAACTTAGTAATGACTAAACTACCACCTTTTTTTATAATCCCTTTTATAAATAAGATTGGGTGGCTACTGGTCTTTCTTATTTTCCCCTTTGTATTGTCAATTCTGTATTTTAAGAACACAACCTTTCTTCTAAAGAAATCCTTGTCTTCCTCCAGCTCAACTGGCCTGTCTTCCTTTATTCATTTTTCTCCTTCCCATTGCTTCTGTTTTGACTGCAAAATCTAAATATATATTTGAAACAAATATGGCTGCTACTTGAGTTCCTGAATAGATGTGATTCCTAGGGAGAGAAGAATTCAGGCAAAACCCTTTTTAATACCCGCCCTAGCTTTTGGGATTATAATAGTATTGCTTCTCTCTACCTCAAACCCTGATATAACAAACAATTGCATTCCTTTTTTTATATATTTATGATTAAAATCCACTATTCCTCTGTGATTGAACACACAGCTTGAGTCCCTGAAATCCCACTGTCAGGTCTTATATAAAACACATCTGGCACTAACGAGATATAATTAGAAGGTGACTCTGGATACCCCATATGAATGAAAGAACATGGTCTCTCCCATAGGTCTTTCCCTGGCCCTGTGAAAGGATGCAATTCAAATCAAGACAAAAGGGAACCAAATTGGGTGAAACTGATCTAACATGCCCTGCTAATCCTCAGCAGCACAATTTAAGGGCTAGAGTCTCCCAAACTTGTGTTTTGAAGTACATGTGGGATTTATGCCATTGTACCTTCAAGTCCTCATCTGCAATTCTGGCTGAGAATAAAGGCAACACAGACTTTTCTATTCAGTAGTGCCTCTCCCTTCTTCAGCAAGCCTATTTGAACTGTATCTATAGGAATCAATATCCAACACAGTGTATAGTCTACTTTTGCAAAGTCCTATGGTCAGTACCTCCAAAAAATAGTGACTTGCCTGTGGACACTAGCTACCATGAGCTGCTAGGACTTGGAAAGGCCAAAGAACTCAAAGGCCCAAGATTACTAAAGCACCAAACTCCTGTGCCCTGGTATACCAGATGTCCCATCTCCACACATCTTATTTTGGTCCCCTAATTCTAGTCAGAGTGGCTGCTTCCTCCAGATTTAATAGCCAATGAATATTTGCATGTGTTGGGGTGTAAGGGGGAAAAATTAATCATATTCCTTTCCTCTCTAGGTTTTTATCCAAGTAACAGATACAGGAATCAGACAACTGAGCATCAACATATCAGTATTTTGTTGATGAATCTGTATCTATGGCCAAAATTGGGCTAATACCACCCCTCTACTGCTTCTCCTACCCCTCCCAATTCCTCGTATTGGGATTACCCACCCAAAGAAGAATATACAAAGGAAGCACTTACCTGGAGAGCTGCAAAGGGGCATGGCTGCTCCAAAAGTGGAGACAGAGAGAGGTGTTCTTCACACCTGCCTCTGGAAGGCTGGCCTGGGCCTCAGCAGGTGCTTATGAAAGCTGGATCTGAATGGAATGCATACACATTACAGGCAAAGAGGTGCAAAAGAGAGGAGAGCGCTAAGAGCATGCACACATGCGTGCATGCATGCATGTGTGCATGTGCATGTGTGTGTGTGTGTGTGTGTGTGTGTGTGTATACGATGACTCTCTTTCCTACGACTCCATCAGAGAACACGATCTTCCTCTGTGAGAAGAGGTATAGACAGGGTCCAAGAGTGATATTCCAACATGGTTCCCTACTTGGAGAACAGGTAAATAGGGACAAATGACCTATTCTTGTCCCCATGGGTGGAGGCAAGGCCTGTACCTTTCATCCCCTCCTAGAAGGGGTAGGGACCCAATTCCCTCACACCCAATGTATGACCTGGAATTCATTCCCAGCTTTCAACCCAGGTTTAAGGAAGAGTTCTACTAATAGCGTCTGTTACTAGGTCATTCCTACATTAGAACTCAGGATGGCAGGGGTAGAGCAAGGGCCCAGAGGTTCAGGTTGACCCCAACCAACCCCCAGACACATTCACTCACTGAGCTCCATCTAACAAAAAAACAAACAAAACAAAACAAAAAAGCAAAAGAAACACCAATAAAACTAGGAAACCCCTTCCAAGCCATTTCACTAATAACTTCTCCTCAGGAACTGTCTGGCCACTGGGGTGAAAAGGGTAACAGCAATACCCATGACTAAGAAAGACCAGCCTACAAACCTTGCCTCGATTATGTGGCTACTCTAGTGTTCTAGGTGTCTGCCTCCCCACCATCACAAGTCTTAGGAAGAGTCATTGCAAGACATGCCGCATTTAGACTATCAGAAGCCATCCCCAGACAAAAGTCCCCAAGGTAGAAGAACCCAAAAAAGGACACTGCTTGGGAGCTTGAGAATGAAGTTATTTATCAAAGGGTGGTTGGAAAAGCCAAGCTTTCTTGAGCCCAATTCCAGAATAATCAGTGGGAGTCTCTCTCCTGTTAGCGTCATTGGTCCACCTACCCAATAGCAGATCTTCGACTGAAGGGAACAAAGGGAAAATCATCATCCTCAAAGGGGCCTGGAGTGCCCTTCCTATCCACTTCCAACTGGGAGACAAATGGAACAAAGGGAGAGCTCTTCCCACCAATAAAACCCACCTCCACAACGGAAAGCCTCCTCTTACTATATGTAATTCAAGGAGCGACCCACCTGCCCTGTTCAGTCCACATCAGGAAACACTGAACCTTTTTTCAGGGTCACAGGACATACCCTTTGGGCCATTCCTAACGACCTTTCCCTCAGTGTAGGAGCACTTAGCAGAGTCCCAATGTCAGTTCGTATCACTCACTCTCTCAAGGAAGCTGGAATGCCCAGAAATAGAAAAAGAATAGAACTGGGATTGAAAATTAATCTACCAAGTCAAAAGATAAAATCTCTCCCAAGATGCCCACGAGTCATTCCCACTTTTAAGTCCACATGGTGTGGAAGGAGGGAATGGGCTCAATCTGCTAAGAAAAGGGCTTTCAGGTTTAACACAACAGGCAAAAGGTTCAGCGGGGACCAAACATTTGAAGGAACACAGAAGTAGCGGGGAATAGGGAGAGAGGGGACCCTGATGGCAAGAAGGGAGAGCGGCGTACTTTGACTAAGGTGACAGAGAGAAAGGAGGTAGGGTAAGCAAGCATGAGGAAAAGAGTCACTCAGAAAGCCAGATACCTAAGTTCTAGTCATGGCGTCTGCCAGCAATTTAGCATGTAACTTTGAGCTTATCTAGACTTCAGTGTCTTCATCTGCAAAATAGGGGAAAGCGGTTTGCTTAACTAGATGCCTGTTACAGTCCTTTGAGATTATGGCATCCTCCACAAGTGTGATTGATGGACTATTACAAGATATTCAGCAGGGGACCAAGGGAACCCTTACCAGAGCAGGAAATGCCTTTCAGCCCCATCTCTAATGAAAGGGTCACATATATACACGCATTCACACATACATAAGCAAAGTGGCCGATGATTTCATCCATAGCAGCAGAGACACATATAGAAAAAAAAAATAAATATCACTGATGCTCAATTCCTACATTGGGGAAAGAGGGGTCCTGAGGGTGTAACTTGGAGGGACTCCAAGGTCAGGGGAAAGGGTCCTTTTATTTGATAATAACTTTTCGTCTTGCTGTTCCTTCCCCAAATCCAGGGCAGCCCGCTCTTTGGAAGAAGCCACTCTCACCTTCCCCTCCTCAAACCACCAACTCACCTGTTGCTGAAACAAAGATGCCCAGATCCCCCCCCCAAAGAAATAAGCCACTAGTTAGCCTTTAAGAAATGAACGGAATCTACCACACCTGAGATTACTTGGGAGTGGGCAGCTGGAGCCCCATGCCCTGTTTCCCTGGATCGCCTCACACAACATCACTTGGGTTCGCCCTCCGGTTGAAGGGGAACTAGCCTGGACCACCCTTTATTTCTGGTGCTTTTATGGTTGTTTCTAAAACTTTAAAACCAAAATCTCATTGTGAGAGTGAGCCAGGAAGTTACCCTCCCCGAGGAGGAATCCAAGCGGGAAGAAAGGCTACCACACAAGTGCAGCGTTCCAAACCATGCCAACAGGACCTGCAAAACAGACTCGCACGGCTCCCCAGACACCCAGAAGCATCTCCCAGCCATACATCCACATGGACTCTGACATGGCCTCCCCTAGCAGAGGTAGCTGGGGGCAATTGGGGAGTGGAGGACATCAACCTCCTATCAACCTGGGATCCCTGTTTTAAAAGATACTAAAAATAAATTAGTAAACATTGCTGTTTACAGAAATAGAAATCATTTCTGTTTCCAAAGGCCTCTCACCACCCCAGTCCTGGACTGCCACCCGTGATCCCCTCGCCAAGGTCCGCCCTGGTGGGTGGGTAAGACACCAGAGTCCTTTAAGACTGGGAGCTCCTCAGGCACCTGAGAATTCCAGTTTCACATCTCTGCTTCCAGGGAAGGGAGAATCTTCAGGACTCGGGGAAGAGTACCGGGGTTCACCCCTTCTCACCAGTTCCTGGGGGCTGTCTTGAGGCAACCCCCCCTTTTAGGATGATATACGTGTTGTAAGAATTCCTGTTATTTTCAGGCCCCCAGTCCCTCCCCAGGGTCCAACACGCCTGCCTGGACCCACCCTCAGAGCGGAGGAACCAGTCTGTGCCTTGGGCTAACGACTCTGGGAAAGAGGGATGGGCAGAGAGGAGGCAGGGGGCAACGGCCTGGGGGGGTGGGGGGGGGCGGGGGAATCATCCTGGAGGGGGCGACTAAAAGCAATGACTGTCAGACAGGCTGCTGGTGAGGTTGGGCGGCGCCTGGCCGGGGACGGAGCCGGAGCTGTCCGCCAGGCTGGCGGGTTGCGCTTCGACGCGGGGGGTGCGACGGCGCCCCCGGTACTCGATCATGTCGGGATGATAGGCCGGGTGGCGGCGGGCGTGCTTGGTCAGGTGGTCGCTCCGGGAGAACTGCTTGGGGCAGAGGGGGCAGGAGAAGCGCTTCTCTCCCGTGTGCGTCCTGTAGTGGCGGGCCAGCTCGTCGGAGCGCGTGAACTTCTTGTCGCAGTCGAGCCAGTCGCAGGAGAAAGGGCGCTCACCCGTGTGGGTGCGCTGGTGGGACTTCAGATGCGACGACTTGTAATAGGCTTTGTTGCAGCCCGGGAAGGGGCAGCGGTGGCGCTTGGCGGCAGGTGTGACGGGCCTCCGACGGGGGCCCGGGCCCGTGGCGGGGGCGGGGCCCGCGCCAGGGCCCGCGGCCAGGACGGCGGGCGCTCCGCGGACGGCAGGCGCCCCGGGGACCTCGA